TCACATATGGTCCCCAGCACCACCAGGGATCACTCCTGAGCACCACTGGGTATGGCCCACAAAGACACTAGCAAAAGGGACAGTCTAATGTACTTCATTGAAAAATTGAAGCTAAGGGACAGTGACAGAAAAGAAGGGTAAAGTTAATGTGGATGACTCTGGGTTAAATCCCTAGAACCACATGATCTGCCAAGTGCTGCCAGGGATCACTCCTGAGCATAGAGCCATAAATAGCCCCTGGGCACGGCTAGATATTGTCCAGAAAAAAAATTAATTTGAAGCTTTATTTTCATGGAAAGCAGTAGGTAAGGGCACAGTGACAAGCTTTCTGTCAATGGTGAGCCCTACACGGCCACATAACCCTCATGCTGCCTTTCACCCACTCTCCTTTGACCTTTCTGGAATATTCTTCCTTTCTATTTGAGAATTTCCTGACTCCTCACTCCTGAGCCACACCTGGAGGTACTCAGGACTTACTGCTGACTCTGTGCTTGTGGGTCAATGCTGGAAGTGTTCAGGGGACCGTATGTAGTACCAGAGACTGAAATGGGGCCAGCTGCAAGTAAGGCATATGCCTTAACTGCTGTACTATGTCTCGTCTCTGTGCCCCCTTCATAAATATTGAACAAGAGAACATTACCTATCTCAAGAAACCTGGGTTTGGTATTGTTTTGTTTTCTCCTGATCTGAAATCTTTAGAATTATCTGGACATTTAAAAAAAAAAAAAGAATTGATTTCCTCAGGTCCCAATCAGAGAAAATCAAATTAGTCAACAATGGTGAGTACCAGGAACATGTTTTTAACAGATGCTGCAGTTCAGAAACCACAGCAAAGGGAACTGAGGGTCCTCTGATAGAACACATCAGTGCGTGGAGCTTGGGGTGAATCTTTGGTACTCAAGGCACACGACTAGTTGAGAGGCCGTCAGGCATTGGCTCTTTTTAAGTAAAAACCTCACACAGCTCTTTGACTTGGCCTACAAATTTCCAAATGGAAACCTAGAGGTAAAGGCACGAATATATGTGCTGTAAATTTGCCTGTTGTGGTGACAGGTAATCTGAATCAATTCAGATAACTGAACTGTGAACCGTGTAAACAGAATTTGTTTTCCTTTTTGAGGGATATTGTTTTATCAACCAAGACTTTGTAAAATACAAATATTACTAGAGGATGATACAGTTGATAGAACATCTATTCAGAGCAAAATGAACTACCCCCAAAAGTAATTATTTCTGTTATCTCTCCTTGCAAATCACAAGCAGTGTTAAGTCATCACCTTCAATATTATCTGATGGTCTGCTCTCCACACTAGAAGTAATGACAGGTACCTACATGTTACAGGATATGAGGTGTCTAATTGAATAATTCATCTTATTTAGATGAAAGGGCATAACGCATTAACACAAATGACAACTGCGTGGGTGCTTAAAGAAGAGACAACTTTGCAATTTAGTTGATGGTGTATTAATAAAGAACTTCTATCTAGAGAACTGCCCAGTGACCCAATTTACATACCAGGCATTATGAAGTATGTAGGTAGAATCTTAGAATTACGTTAAGATGAAATTTTGTTTTCCATGATAAAAAGAACTTGGCATTTCCTACTTAGATATGTGTTGTTATTATTATTATATATTTTTTACTTTGAATAATGATGAAACAGTGACCAAAATGAAACCTTCTCAATGTGCCTGGTTATATTTATAAATATGTTGAGTTTGTCTTGAGCCCAGTCATTGTATGAATGTGATGAAATATATGCAGACAATTTATCTTTTTTTTTTTTTGTCTTGTTGTTTTACTGTCCTCCCCCCCCATCACCCCACCCCCGTCCCCACCCAATACACACTCACAAGTGGAGAATCTGAGCAAAAGCAGATGACTCTGGCAAAATCTTATAATTCCCTACAAAGAGAATTAAGGCCAATTTACACATCATCACATAGACACTGTCTATTGATATAGCTCCAAAAAATCTGTTATGTTTGTTTGACCCTCCTGGATTGTACTTCTTCATCTCAATGTAGTTATTTTCTGCTAAATTGTAGGGTTTTTTCTTTTACATTCTCTCACCACCGAACTGTCTATGAGGACTAAATTACTCCCTCTCACCAAAGCCTTCCTTTGGCTATCTAACTTGTCAACCCTTTGCTCTTGTTTGACTTCTTTTTATACATCAAGTACACTGCCTACTTTCTCACTTCAGAATCCAAAATGACCCTACTAAAAAGAAAAAGGAAGCTCCCCTTTTCTTGTGACTACTGGGAAGGCGTTATCTCTCTAAGCTCCCACTCTTCTAGCATGTTTGGCATCAGTGTCTGTGCTAAGATAACCCCCATCCACTGCTAATTTATGCCCCTGGTGTAGACTTAAACATTGTGTACCAGCCATCTTTTCATCTTTTTATTCCATCCAGGAAATCCCCAGCCAGGTTTCCTCTTTTCTTTTCTCCTTCCTTCCTTGCCTTCCTTTCGTTTCCCTCCCCTATTCCTCTCTTCCTTCCTTCTCTTTTCTTCCCCCCACCTCCTCTTTTTCAGCCAGGAAGGATAGTCATTAGAAAGAAATGTACTGTTGCGTTGTAAGGAAAGTCTCCATGGATATTTTCCTCAGGATATAGTACCAGTCGAAAAACCTTTTTATATTTATTAATACTGGGAACTTATTTATATTCAGGTAGTGAATTAAGCCTGCATATTTTTACTTTTTTGTTAGCCTATTTAAAATTTATTGCTAAACTCCTGAGCATTCTTTGCTTGTTTTTAAATATTAAATCCTTACTACTATATCCTTTTCTAAATTCTCCAATTACTGCTCTCTGAAAATTGGACTTTATGCCTGTCACATATTATTACTAATTTCTTCCTAGCTTTCAGCCCTCACCAAGGTTGTATAGATGAAAATCTGGGGACTTGTTGCTGGGAGAGGTTTGCAAACATGGGTCACTCCTACCTTCTGCACGCAAAGTATGTGCCCCAGCCGACCTTATTTTTTCAAATTTATTATTATTTGTGTGTGTGTGTATGAGAGAGAGATAGAGAGAGAGAGAGAGAGAGAGAGGGAGAGAGAAAGAGAGAGAGAGATGGTACTATGGGTCACATCTGTTCTGTTTTCATCTTTCTTTCTGAAAACATTTTTAACTTTAGCCCTTCCAGCTTTACTTTTAAAGCCAATGGTGTGGACTGGAGCAATAGTACAGTGGGTAGGGCATTTTTGCCTGCCATGCGCCCAACCCGGGATCTATGCCCAGCACCCCATATTGTCTCCTGAGCACTGCCAGGAGTAATTCCTGACGACAAAGTCAGTAGTAACCCCTGTGCATCACCAGGTATGACCCAAAAATAAATAAAACCCAGTGATGCTACATTAGAATGCCTTGGCCTTGGGTTTCTGACTGTACTGGTAGTGAATATTTTTTGTACCCTCATTTTCATCAGCTAGCAAAAACTGAACTCTAAAAACTTTTGGGAAAGCATCCTATTATCGCTACACACTTGTGTCTTTTTTCCCTCCCTCCTTCCTTTCCTCCCTTTTTTCCCTTCTCTCCCTCCCTCCCTCCCTCCCTCCTTTCCTTCCCATATTCAGCAGTGCTGGGTCCTACTTCCAGCTCAGTGTTTTATTTTATGGGTTGTTTTGGTGAGGGTTGTGGTTTTGGATATATTTTTGGCTTTGGGGTAGCAACTAGCAATGATCAGGGTTTACTCCTTGCTTTGTGCTCAGTGATCACTTCTGGTGGGCCAGGATGAAGCCAAAGTTAGCAGTATACAAGGCAAAAAAGACTTTCCCGCTATTCTATCTCTATCTCTCTATCTCCCGCTATTCAAGTACAGAGAATGTACTTGAAAGTGATCTTTTGAGTGTGGAATAGTAATATAGAAGGTAGACCACTTGTCTTCAGGCAACTGATCCTGGTTCAATCCAGGCCCCACATACTGTTCTTCTGAACATACTCAGCAGCAATAATCCTGATTGTAGCTGGGGATGTCCCAATTCTCCTCCAATCCCCCCCAAATTAATCACTGTCACTGTCCTCCCGTTGTTCATCGATTTGCTCGAGCGGGCCCAGTAACATCTCCATCGTGAGACTTTGTTGTTACTGTGTTTGGCATATCGAATACATCACGGGGAGCTTGCCAGGCTTTGCCATGGGGTGAGATACTCTCGGTAACTTGCCAGGCTCTCCGAGAGAGGCGGGAGAATTGAACTCAGGTCAGCCATGTTGGCTGCATGCAAGACAAATGCCCTAGCCGCTGTGATATCACTCCATCCCCCCAAATTAGTACTTTTAAATTTAAAAATTAAGTGGTATTTTTCTTATACTGTAATATAAAAAAACTAGCATTCTTTAAATGTATTGTACATTTAGTCTTTGTTTGAAAGTAGATTTCTGCATAGGAATTGTCAGTGAATACTTCACTACAGTATATTTTTCTCTTGTCAAGAGAACAACCTAACCACTGTTTAAAAAACAGAAGCATGAAAACTGGTGTGTGAATAAATTGTATTTGTATGCACAAGGTCAAGGGGTTGCATCGATGTGATGTATATATTTCTCATAGGGATTGTTGTTCTCACCTTAATTCTTAGATACTTCTGACTTTTAAATGCCCTGTATTAGCATTTTGCTTAGGCTTGCATCCGGGCACTGGTCTACCAGGCAAGACCTGTCCTCTGATGGATTTTATCTGATGGATAAAATAAGCAGAAGCACTTAACACAGACAGTTTCTCAAGTCATATGTGAGGCAATGGTTAAGCAAGTTATGCATCTTCACAGGTTAAGATTGCAGTTCACCAGCACATACCGTCTGTTGCTTTGACTGTATCTGAAGAAAATTGCATGTGGGACAATGAGACCAAATTGGACTTTTTGTTTATAGAAGACCGTTGGAAAACTTTTGAGTCCTTTTGCGATATTTTGATTCTCTGAAAGGAAGTAAAAAGTTAAACTAATAATTCTTGGTCTGATTATTTCAAAGCCTTTTTTGTTTGTTTCTTTGCAGGCTCCTCCCAGGCACCATGGGAGACTGGAGTGCCTTAGGCAAACTCCTTGACAAAGTCCAAGCCTATTCCACGGCAGGAGGGAAGGTATGGCTATCAGTCCTTTTCATTTTTCGAATCCTGCTCCTGGGAACAGCCGTGGAGTCCGCGTGGGGTGATGAGCAGTCCGCCTTCCGTTGTAACACTCAACAGCCTGGTTGTGAGAACGTCTGCTATGACAAGTCCTTCCCAATCTCTCACGTGCGCTTCTGGGTGCTGCAGATCATTTTTGTGTCTGTCCCGACGCTTCTGTACTTGGCTCACGTCTTCTATGTGATGCGCAAAGAAGAGAAACTCAACAAGAAAGAGGAGGAGCTCAAAGTCGCCCAAACGGACGGAGTCAACGTGGAAATGCACTTGAAGCAGATTGAGATCAAGAAGTTCAAGTATGGCATTGAAGAGCACGGCAAGGTGAAGATGCGCGGAGGCCTGCTGCGCACCTACATCATCAGCATCCTCTTCAAGTCGGTCTTCGAGGTGGCCTTCCTGCTGATCCAGTGGTACATCTACGGCTTCAGCCTGAGTGCCGTCTACACTTGCAAAAGAGCACCCTGCCCGCATCAGGTGGACTGCTTCCTCTCGCGCCCCACGGAGAAGACCATTTTCATCATCTTTATGCTCGTGGTGTCCCTGGTGTCTCTCGCCTTGAACATCATCGAGCTTTTCTACGTCTTCTTCAAGGGTGTGAAGGATCGCGTGAAGGGAAAAACCGATATCTATCACGCCTCCACTGGCCCGCTGAGCCCCTCCAAAGACTGTGGATCTCCCAAATACGCTTATTTCAACGGCTGCTCCTCACCCACGGCTCCCCTTTCGCCCATGTCTCCTCCTGGCTACAAGCTGGTTACTGGAGACAGAAACAATTCTTCCTGCCGCAATTACAACAAACAAGCAAGTGAGCAAAATTGGGCTAATTACAGTGCAGAGCAAAATCGAATGGGGCAGGCCGGAAGCACCATCTCTAACTCCCACGCGCAGCCTTTTGATTTCCCTGATGATAACCAGAATTCTAAGAAACTAGCTGCTGGGCATGAACTCCAACCTTTAGCCCTCGTGGACCAGCGGCCTGCCAGCAGAGCCAGTAGTCGAGCCAGTAGCCGTCCTCGACCTGATGACCTGGAAATCTAGACCCAGGCCCAAGAGCATCAAGATTCCACTGAATTGTGGAGAAGAAAAGGGTGCTGTAGAAAGTGCACCTTAGGTGTTCGTCTTGTTCCAAGTGGAGGTGGTACTCAACAGCCTTCATCAGGAGGCTTAGAAAACACAAAGACAATAGAATACTTGGGTTCCTTGGGGGTGTTTGGGATAGGTGGGTGGAGGGGGCGGGGTTAGGGGCGCTAAATGTTGGTATTTAATGTAGTTGATTCAAAGGACCTAAGTTCTAAATAAAAGTTGCATTAGGTGATACATAGGTAAGGGCTTTTTTTCTTCTCCCCCCCCCTCCAATTCTATCCTTACCCCTAAAAATAGTTCTTTTTATGTGAAAGAATGGGTGAGATATGTGGTTAAATCTACTTCCTTTTTAATCAAGACACGGAATAACTTTGGCCAGGAAACAGTGCTTCCTGAGCATCTTTGGTCTGGGGTGTTGTGGCTTTTGTTTTTGTTTTTGTTTTTAACATGAAGAAAAAAAGACAGGACTGTCCTTATGTCCCTGCTAAGACATTCCATTGTAAAAGTTTGCACTTTGAAGGCGAGCTTTCCAGGCCTGACCCTCTAGGTGGCAATGAACATATGCTACTACTTTTTAAAATCTTGGTTATCAGTTGAAAGTTCTGACAAGGCCCACAGAAAAAAGATTTTCCTTAAGTTTTTGAATCTCAGCAGTTTTGTTTTGTTTTTACATCCACTTGCATCCTATTACTGCCATCACTCTTCCATCATTCCTCAACTACTATTTACATTCATCAAATGGTTTCTATAAACATTTTTTAAATGGTTGGGATGTCACTTAACATTTTGAGTTAGTCAGGGAAGTGCAAGCCATGCTCAATATTTAATAATCACTTGTACGTGTATGTGTGTGAAGGGTGTATTTTATGTCATGTATTGGTACAGTGTAAACTCACAGATTTGAAAATAATGCACACACAGTGTTCAAATTTGAACTTTTCTCATGGATTTTGTGGTGTGGGCCAATAAATGGTGTTTACATTATGTAATTCCTGCTGTGCAAGTAAAGCACATTTTTTTTTCCTAAATTGTTTTTGCCCCATGTATCCTATTATGGATACTGGTTTTATTAATCTTTTTTCTTTTTTCATTTTTAGAATATAGCAATAATGCTATTGCTGAAACGAATGATTTCCTTTATGAAATGTAATCATTGATGCTTGAATGATAGAATTTTAGTACTGTAAACAGGCTTTAGTAATTAATGTGAGACTTAGAAGAAATGCTTAGAATGGAATATTACATGTGCCTAAATGAATTTTTGCAGCAACTGGTATTCTTGTTTTGTCCTACTTAATACACAGTAATTCAGAATTCATATTTTATTAAGAGTTGACAGTCTTGGGGTGACCAGCAAATTTGATGTTTGCACTAAGATTTTTATTTGGCATGCAAGAGAGGTTGAAAGAGGTTTCAGTAGTACACACATAACTAATTTATTTGAAATATATGCTAAAGAAATTTACCAGTTTCTTCAAATGCCTTTTTTAAACTCATCACAGATGATTAGTGAAAATATAGTGTCATACTTTTCTTTTTGCATGTCAGCTACATAAACAGTTTTGTACCCTGAGAAATACTAATTTGTTTGACATTCCATGTTAAACTACTGTCATGTTCGGCTTCATTGCATGTAATGTAGACCTAGTCCATCAAATCATGAGTTCTGGAGAGTGTTCTTTATTCAATAAAATTTTAATTTAGTATAAAAATAGGATCTGTACCTTGTGAGTTTTTGTTTTTTAAACTGCATCTGTCTACAAGAATTTCCATTGGTTCTGAGGATTTGGGTAAATAAGAATCAAAATCCAGAAATCTTTATTTTTGGTTTCTGGGTCACACCTTATATGTTGCTGGAGGGATGTTCCAGTTTGTGCTGGCTACTCCTGGTGGTGCCTAGGAGACCATGTAGCCCAGGAACTCAAACCTCAGCTTCCCACAAACAAGCACTCTCAGCCCTTGAGCTATCTTCCCTGCTTCAAAAACTAGACAGGAAGGTTTTTTTTTTTTTTCTGATTCTGGGTATCCACTCTGAATCCCATGACTTGTACTGTCCACTAAGTCACATCCCAGGTGCCCTCTGTACAACATTTATTTATCACCGCATTCAAACTGAATATAAAATGTGTTGCATCTGTAATATGATTTTAATGACATATGTAACGTAATTTAAAGTAGGGAAATTTCATATAGTATGCATGAGGAGTGAGCATTAAGGTGCATAATCTTCATGATTTTTTTTTTTTTTTGCTTTTTGGTCACACCCAGCAATGCACAGGGGTTACTCCTGGCTCATGCATGCACTCAGGAATTACTCCTGGCGGTGCTTGGGGTACCATATGGGATGCTGGGAATCTAAATCGGGGTGGTCGCGTGCAAGGCAAACCCCCTACCTTATATGCTCTTGCTCAAACCCTCATGATTTTTAGAGACATTTGTAGTGTGAGGATCAAGGAAAGGGTTCATGGTAGAATGCATACCTTGAGCTCTGCCACTGAGATCCTGTACTTAATAACCCAGTACTTTACAATAACAAATTCATACTTGAGGTAATCAAACAATCCAAGGGAGTAGAGTTCTGGACAGTTGGTATTATTTCTATAACTTTTATTAACTATTTTTTTGGTTTGGGAGTCACACCCCATGATGTTCAGGGGTTAAGCCTGGCTCTGCATCCAGGAATTCTTCCTGTTAGTGCTTAGGGTACCAAATGGGATGCCAGAAACTGAATGTGTTCAGTTGTGTACCCGCTGTACTGTCTCTTAAACCCCCAATTGCTATAAGTTTTTTAAACATAGCATTTCAAGAAAAATTTATTTCCATAAATGTCATTTAACAAAACAAGTAGATTTTATGGAGTGTAATTCAAAGACCCAAGTTCAGTTGTTCAACTAACTACTTAAAGTTTGGCAGTTGTAGGGAAAGTAGGGGTAATGGAGTAAGATACATCTTATGGAAATAGCCATCTAACCAAAATATTTCTCAATTTATTTTCCTCCTGAAAAAACATTTCTCAATTTTATGAGTTCAGAGTGATATTACAGCAGGCACAGCTTACATTGCACAGTTCATTTGGTCCTCAGAGCCCCAAGAGTAGTGAACCCTGAGCACAGAGTCATGATTAAGTCCTAAGCACTGCTGGGTGTGGACCAAAGGCCTTCATACCCCCACCCCCGCCAAAAAAAAAAAGGTTTCTTTAAATCTTGACATTATTCAAAATATGTAAGCATATAATAACAGATTTTACTTGGTTTTGATTTTTTTTTTCATTGTCAGGGAGCAAATCCAGGACCAATATAATTTTAAATACAAGGTAACTGCTCTTCCATTGATCTATATTTCTTTACCCCAGTATACTTTTGTAAATTTTAAATTTATAAATTTTTGTAACTTATGCAGTTATCCTCAGGGTTAGATGCCTGGAAAGAGCATGGACCCTCATGTTGAATCTCCACTTGGCTGAGACTCACAGGAAGGCGATCCTGGACTCCTGGGGAAAAGTCTGGATGTTCCCTGCTAGGATAACCTCCCTACACCCCCAAAAGAAAGGTTACCAACCACATGTAAGGAGCTTAGGAAAGTGGTGAGGATTCTTAAGCTGATGCCTCAGTTTCTATCTCCTGATACAAAGAGAATCCTTGCGGAAATTTAAAAAGTAGCACAACTAAAATTAGTTTGGTTTTGTTTTTGACCACACACAGCCATGCTCGGGGATCACTCTTGGTGGGACTCCAGGTTATATGTGGTGCTGGAAATCAAATCTGGGTTGGCTGTGTGCAAGGTCAGCCCCCTACAGGTTTTATTATGTCTCTAGCCCTGCTTTTCTCTTAGTTGACTGGTTTTTGACTGGTTTTCTCAACTGAAAAGATAATGGAGCAGTATTTAAAATTTACTTTTAGTTTGGGGGAAATTTTGCCAGTTTAGATGGTGATGCAGCTCTGTGGTAGAGCACTTGCCTTTTATGTGTGAGGATCTTGAGTTCAATTGCTGGCAGTAGCAGAAGTGAGATAAGTTTACAATCTTGTACTTTAATTGCGCAAATATTGTGTGCATCCACTTTCACATTTAAAAAACAATTGGAAAAGTGGCTGTAGAAATAGTACAGTGGGTAGAGCTGCCTTGCACATAGCTGACCGAATTCATTCCCCAGGGATACATGATTCCCCCTAAGTCCTACCAGGAGTGATGCCTGAGCACAGGGTCAGGATTAGGCCCAGAGCACTGCTGGATGTGCCTCCATCCCTGAAAAAAATTTCAAAAGCTGAACAAAAAGAAATTGGAAATTTTGCATCTGCAAGTTATAGAGCACATGGTGATGAAAATTTTACTCTTCACTGTGTTCTCTTCACATGTGACTCTTGAACATTTGAAATGTGGCTTGTGAGTCTAAAGCAATGAATTCCGTTGATTTTAATTAAATAGTCATGTATAGCTAGGGGCTACTGTATTGAGCAGAGCCATTATACAGTTAGCTGGTGGCGTGGGGGGTTGGGGGAGTTCAATATTGTGTGGAAATCATGTTGAAAACAGGCATAAGGAAAAGAAACTTCAAGGTCTTTTTATAGTCTTATAAAAGGCCAGTGCCCTTACTTGGTCCAGTGAATTAGCATTTTAGCTCCTGCAGGTCTTTATTAAGCTTCCAGGTCACCGGCCGTTCTTTCATCCAATTTTGAGAAAATTGCTAAACTTAACCTGCCCATGGTACTTGTTCCCTGCCCACACACTGCCTCTCCTAAAGATTCCAAACTTCAACATGCCCAAACATCTGTGCTTTGTTCTTGAAGGGAGAGCAAAATAATGAAGTTCGGGGGCTTATTAAAGTCTTAAAGTAAGTTCTTTTTATAAACAGCACACCAACAGTATGGTACCATGTTTATAATCTTTACTGGCTTTGAGATTATGTTTTTACCTTTTTTTGGTGGGGCAAATATAGCTGAGCCCTTGGCATGTCAGAGTTTGCAGCTGGCAATTTTCAGAACTACAATTACACATGGGGATGAAGGGTAAGATGGGATTCCTTAAAACAGGACTGAAACCTAGTTCCGGCTGGAGACCTGGAATCTGAATTGCTTTTGGCTATTGCTTTTGAAGACTGATGAGTGTGTCTTGAGTATGTGAGTGTGTCTTGAGAATTCCACAACTCAGACCCACTAGAATGAAATTAGCTCTTCTAACTCATTGTTTAGCAATTTTCTAATCGTCCAAGTTACTCACTATGTAAAGACTGATTCTAAAGAAATACAACTAAAGACCCGGTTCAAGACAATGTTTGTTCTAACACAGTTTTTCATATTTTAGTGTCATTTATCAATGGCACCTTTGGAGGGAGATAATATAAGAATATTTGAGGGAATCACTTTACATTCATGAATTTACAATTTCTGTGGGATGAAGTAATTTGCAAGTTAAATATAACTATATTCAAATTTAGCCCCAAGGGACCCAGTCCCAGCAGCCAAAAACCTCCAGAACCCAGCCACCACACTTAAGGCTGTTCCCTAGACACTCAGGCCGAGTAAACATATTCCTTGAATGCTATCATGTGATACATCATAAGACAGTTTTCCATAGCAGACAATAAAAAATATATTATTTTGGTTGTGCTTTGGGACAGGTATTGGGGGTTGGGATGGAAACATCCCAAATTTGCTGGTGGGAAGGTATAATGGTGGGGGAACTGGTGTTTGAATATTAACTGTAATCAAATATTGTGAACTACCTTATAAAATAAAAATATTTTTAAAAATAACTATATTCAACTTTTTGTCATCTATAATTGAATGTAAATTAAGATTATAACAGAAATTGGGCTTGAAAGATAAACTGGCAAGAGTACAACTTTTCATGCAAGAGGTCAATGTTTGATTCCTGGCACTTCACGGTTCCCCTGAGCACAGAACTGTGAGTAGCCTTACATAACATCAGGTGTGGTAACCTCCCCCCACAAATTCCCAGAAATATAGTTATATATGCATGAAATACCATATAATTTTATAGTTTATAATTTAAATAATTAAAAATGGCAGCAGACAATAGATTTTGTGATTTCACTCATTCTTTCGGTTGAACCATATTCATTTTTCCATTTCTAATTTCTTCAGTCTAATGTCTTACCAGAATTTTCTAATTTGTAATAGTCTATTACATGCATAATTTTTATATGTAATATTATGCATATAATAAATATGCATAAATTAAAATGTTTATGTAAAGCTTTCAGGTTCTGTTGATAGCTGAAGTTTAGTTCTGTAGTTTGTATCCCACCCTGAATCTGTAGTTGAAGTGAAAATTTTAAAAAATTATATAAATCTTTCTCTTAATTGCTTTTCTTCCTTTTCTTATACATATTTAGAAAAGTTTCATTTGATTTTATTGATTTGTAACATTGGACTATTCCTTCTGTCATACATACCTTATATCTGATCCCTTCCCCAATATTTATCTTTTTTCATAGGTAAGGACCAGTGAAACACTTCAATAGTAACTCAGGGGTGATCTAGTAGATGTTTAGCATGTGTAATTAAAGAGCATCACTGGAAAACATCCAAAAATAATTTAACTTTTATCTTAGTCTGGTCCTCACTTGTCTGGAGGACTTGCCACGTTTATAATTAAAAACTATAAGAACTGTAGATGATGGTTATCTAAAACTCCAAACATAGCAAATGTGGGAACCAGGGTGCCATTTGGCATTTGTCCAAGTGTTTTTAGTCA